TAATGATTGATCATCACTCTGACGTTGAATATTAATATTGATTAAAATCTCACCACGTTGGTTTATAGGTGCATGTGATGAAAAAGTGGTTCGGGTGCTATAAATCGCCAAAGCCGTGCGTAAAGGCCGCGCGTAATGACAGCTGTTCTGATACTGTGTTGGAGAACCTCGCCAAATGCAACTCGATCCCTTTTTGTCTTTGTCGTTACTTTTATTGCACAAAGGCGTTGTGCAGCTTACAAGTATCGATATGCAAACAGCTTTTTAAGGGCATCTGGAAAAAAAGACTGAACGCGGATCACCTCTTTATCTCTGACTGAAGAGCTAAAACCACTGGAGTCGACTGAACAGAGTGTGGACTTGGTTCAGTCTGTCTCTATCTGCTGGTAGCTAATGTCAGCTAACAGTTGACGATGTGAGGAAACACAAACAGCAGATGAGAGATGAACTGGCGTGCAGAATTTCCTGTTAGATCTGCTGAAACTGAGAGTTAAAGTGTATCACTGACAGTCTATAGCTGTATGGGTTAGCCTTTCCTAATGTATGACAATAACAGTCTTGCAGGTAGTGTATTTTATAATTAATGCTCAACAACCTTGAACATTAAATCCTACAGTTATAATATTTGAATCATATTTTAATTTTGCATTTAGTTGCTGTTTGTAGAGAAAAAATCATGAACTGGCCCCAAGCTTTAAAACAAATCAAGATTTGATGGCCCAAATTCACTTTTATAATACATTTCAGAAGTAAAACAAATTATTATTCTTGTCTTAATATAAATTCAGGGGTATGTTACAGGAAGCAGGTTTACTCGGTTATCAGAATAACTCATAAAGTGTGGAGTCGGCTCCAGTGGCCAAAGGGCCTTCACCATACATAAAGAAACAATTTAATTCCTTTTGACATCCAATAAAGTCAGCAGATTAACCTACTGACTTTATTAGTTGTATGTATTAGTTTATACATTAGCAGCTACCGTATATGTTGTCAGTAAATTAGAACATGTGAGCCTGTTATTGTTGGCGTGGTCACTCTGCTTATTCCCAGATGAACTTCAGAGACAAATCACTGAGTCTCTCCTGAAGCAGTTGATCGATTCTTTCACTCTGAGCTGCAGTTAAGGTGTTCTTCCAGTCACCGATCTTACCTGTAATAAAAATAAAAAAACTAGACCAAATATCTGTTTACATGTTTCTGCACATGAGCTACAGTTATGTTACGTTACCTTTGCGCATGAAGTCTCCCATCAGCCTTGTTTCTGGCAGAAACTTGTAGTTT